GACTGACAGCCTTGGAGACCCTGTGGGCAGTTCCACTCTGTCCTCTAGGGGCGCTGTGGGTCAGAATGGACTCCAGGCAGTGGGTGTGGTTTGGGCTCTGCTTCTGTGAAGATTGACAGCCTTTGGGACCCTGGGGCAGTTCCACTCTCCTCTAGGGGGTTTGTTTGGCTTTTTGATTTGTACAAGTGCATTGGATCCATTAGGATATCAAGAGCTCCCCCAACATCATAAAGAAACTTTGTTACCTTAACTACAACTGAGAAATCTAAAAAGTCTTTCTAGGTCACCTCAAACTCACCTGCCCGCCCATGTTATCATTTCACAACAATTAGTGAAGTTGTACATTGATTTTTTTCTTTTTGTAGTTTTGTGGACTTTTTACAATGAATTGCTTTTAGAAATGCCCTGTAAGGGGCCTTGGAGGAAGACGAGGCAATCCCCCCGCCCCCGCAGCCTTTTCTCGGTGATGCGCAGTGGAGGCCTGTGGAGGCCTGAGGAGGCAGGGGCAGGCTCCTGGAGCTACAGGATCTTGGCTTGGGGAAGGGTGCTGGTCCCACGCAGTGTGAGCGCCCTCTGCGACGAGCACACACTTCAGAACCGGCCGAGGAGCGTCAGGCAGGTGGACACATCTCAAGTGGGATCTAAAGGTGCCGGGTGGCCGCCCGCCCCGCGCTGACCTCCCCAAGGCTGTGGGCCCCTCCTCTCACCGTCACGATCTGGGTGCCTGGACGCAGCGCCATCTCGTCGGCCGCCAAGCCGGGGGTGACCCGGTGGATGAAGAGGCCCGTGCGGTCCCCTCCGATGACGCTCATCTGCTCCTGCAGCTGGTCCCCCTGGAAGGCCAGCACCGTGATCTGGCTCAGGATCCTGCGGGCCGGCCGCCGCCGGACGGGTCCACTGCCGCCGCAGGGCAGGGGTGGTGGCTGGAGATGAGCCGCGCTGCAGGCAGCCGAGATGGGGAGCACATGCAGGGGACCCCACTTACTCCCTGAGGCCCCAGCCTCCTGGAACCCTCCATCTCCCTGCCATGGCCCATCCTCAGGACAGTGGCCTGCCACCCAGGAGGCAGGGGACTCCTCACCTGTCTCAGACGCAGAGGCTGCCCTCCGTCTCTGGAAGACCTATGGAGGAGCCAGGAGCTTACAGACGGAGCCCACGGAGACCACGAGGTGGGTCGAGGCGGGGCACCCTCCCTGCCCTGACCCAGGCACCCCGGCCCTCCATGTCACCCGGAGACTGCGCCTCCTCTCCCGCCTCCAGTCAGAACCTTCGCTCTATCTTCTCTAAAATACTGGGACGGGACACCCAGGGGGGTTCTGGGTGGGGTAGGGGCTCGGCCCGCACAGTCCTGGTTTTGAATATTGGGATTAGTCGCCACCATCTTAAAAGATTTCACCTAAGTTCTGATTTCTGGCTTCTCTTAAATCAAAGGTGGCTTGCATCTCCGTGTGGCCTGTGTTACTGCTGTCTGTGAGGTGGATGGGGTCCCCAGGTCTGTGGCCGTGCTTCTCAGCTCGTGAACTGCCCACGAGGACAGCCGGCCAGCAAGCCCTCCCTGCTGCAGTTTGGGTGGAATCTCATGTGTGCTTATATCTAAAACCCAGTGGAACTGGTGCATTTGAAGTCAACTCCACAAAACCTTAAGGAAGTAAGGCCTCGTGCAGAATCCTGGCCAACAAGATGGAGAGGAACGTGCCCTCCGTGTTCAAGGTCTCAGTCCAGTGAGCACGTGTCCTGGGTGCCTTGGGACCCTTTCAGGTTGTCCCTGTTACAAGGGATAACCGAGGAGTCTGCAGAGGGGCAGTGTCCCCACGTGACCCACACAGAGAGCCTCTGTTTCAAAGGCCACTGTGTCCAGTGGTGTGGTGTGCACGCCCCCTGGTGGCCGCAGGAGTGAATTCCAGAGGGGTGCTAAGCACCTACTGTGTGCGAGGTGGGGGCCAGGTGTGCGCAGGTGGGAGAGTAAGGAGACCATCTGCTTGAGCCCATGGCCTTGAGGAGGAGAGAGGACCTCAGTGGCCATCCCGGGGGAGACCTCAGCAGGCAGGCACTCACCCCATGCTATGTGCCTCAGCCACTGAGACCACACATCTATTACACCCAGGCATGAGTGGGGGTCGCAGAGAGGGCTGGGGAGTGTGTGAGCGTGGAGAGTACAGGTCAGAGTACGTGAGTTTGTGAGTATGGCGTGTGTGTTTCTGTGAGTGTGTGTATAACTGATCATGTGAGTGTGTTGAGTGTGTGTGTCTGTTAGTGTCAGTGTGCATCTGGTGTCTGGGCCTCTGTGTGTGTACATGGGTGTGTGAGTGTGTCTCTGTGAGTGCATGCACGTGTGTCACTCTCTGAATTTAGGTGCTGACTTGGACACGGGCTCGCACACGGCTCCCTCAGGCACAGGTGGAGTCTGTTGGCCCCCTCCTAAGGGAGGCACCGCCAGGAACTCCCACTCTGAGCTCCCCAAGGCCCAGAGCTGGCCAACCAGCTGCAGCGTCGAGCTTCCCACCCAGCCCTGGACAGACACCGGCCCCTGGCTGCCCCTCAGCGCCCTGCCCTCACTCCCCGCTGCCTGCCTTGCTCTGGGTCGGGGTTTGGGTGGGGGTCCGCTCACCTGCCTTGTCCACGATCTCATAGCCCAGGTCCTCGTCATCCACCCTGGCCCCAGGGGAGGCTCTCGGCTCAGGCTCCAGAATTTCCGGAAGGCTGTCGGACAGCAGAGGCCGCAGCTCAGGTCCCGAGCCACTGCACCGTCGTGGCCTGGAGCCTGGTGGCCGAGCTGCCCGTGCACCTCCAAACGGAGAGGTGGGTCTACGGCAAACAGTGCCCACGGCAGGACGGGACTGTGCCCGGTCCAGACAGACGGCCACCTTTTAGGAAACCGTTTCGCCATGGCAGGCCCGCAATGCGACTGAAGCGTGTTCATCTGGGAACTAGCGGCTCACGCACCACATGAAAATGACAAGTTCCTGCCGTCACTTGTGACGACAGGTCCACGATGGCTGAAAGTCGTCTTTGGTTCTGTTTCCTCTCTTTCTACCCTCAGCAGAGCAAGATCCCTGTCTGCCCTGACCCCTGACCCACGGAGGCTTCTAAACAGGAAGTGCCGCTTGTGCCTCACAGCTGGTAATGGAGCTGCCGCGGTTGACAGACAGACACTGCTCGGGGGCACCCCTCCAAGGGGCTCCAGGGCGCGCACCTCACAGCTGGTAATGGAACTGCCGTGGTTTACAGACACTGCTCGGGGGCACCCCTCCAAGGGGCACCAGGGCGCGCACCACACCTGCCGTACCTTAGCTCCGCCCCTGCCCAGCGGGCCCCAGCTAGGTGGCTCGCCCTGAGCGGGCCCCGGCACCACGCCCTCTCCACCTTCGACACCAGGGGTCCTCACAGACGTCCTCTGCGGTCCGCTTGCACAGCGACTGCTGGCTGGGCGGCACCGGGCTGCTGGAGCAGAAGTCGGAGCACAGCTGAGAGGGGAGGTGGGGGCGGAGCCGGCAGCCACAGTGACTCCGCACGAAAGCTGCCCGCTGCCCCGCCGCGGGCCCACACTCGGTGACATTCACACTCACGATGAGCTGCCTCCCACGAGGCCGCATCTCACGTGCACACTCACGCCAGCAGTGTTGCACGACGACTCATGCCCCTTCCCAAGGGGAGTGAGCCTGTCCCTCCCACGTAGGGAGAGGAGCCCGATGAAGGAACAGTGTGCACAGCCTGACATCACATTAATCGAGCACCTACTGTGTGCCAGGCACTATGACAGCTGTGTTCCACGTTGATAAATCGGTAAGCTTTACTGTAGGGTTACTGTCCCCTTAGGACAAAAGTGCTGAAACACTCAACTAGTGACCGAAAGGCTGGTGGTTCAGACCCACTGAGGGGCACCTCAGAGCACGGGGACCCTGCGAAAGCCCACAGCCTTGGAAACCCCGAGGGGCTCAGTGCACTGCGACACGGGTGGCTGCGGGCCACAATCGGCTCCACCGCAGCTGTTTGCTTCTGGGGTCACTGCTTCCTTTCACAGGTAAGGTGCCCAAGGCTCAGAGAGGCTGCCTGCTGGTTAGAGGGGCTGCCTGCAGACCAGAGAGGCTGAGTACTGGTTAGAG